TTACCTGAGACCACTGGGACTTAGTGGTCACTTTCTCCCGTTCACTCTAGTTTTATTTCTGGCTGGGAATTGAGTATGTGGGTAATAAGCAAAGTGAAATTAACTGTTGTATTTTAGTGTTTAGTGGAACAAACCCCGGCAGTGCAATCCATACAGGTTTCAACGTAGACAGCGTTTCAGCATCCCTGACGCCTGCAGGTGATACTGGTTTTGGGTGCTCTGTAGGTGTTTGCAGCTCTCAGGTTGTGTGGATGGGGCAGACTGTGGTTTATGGGTATCACCAGTAAATTAATATTAGTGCTGATGCAGACGTCCAAATAAAGGTGAACAATTTTGGTTTACCGCATTCTCAAAAGAGGTAGAGAATTTCTTGCTTTTTCCCGTTGATTTATATAAAAGATAAATTAAGTGGCATTCTCGCTTTGTGCACTTACAGTTTAGTAATGACAAACCTTAGAGCCGGTACTTTTGGGTGATCTAAATACGAGTTAAATTTTGGTCAAACATTAAAATGTGATTGTGTTTAAGGTATAGCTCTGGGGTTTCGGTGAGTCATTGTCATGAGTGGGAGGGTAACGCAGGCTCTTTCAATCTAGGTTTGTGTCTGTGTACACACCGCATCCACACTTCGGATGAGTGCATTGTGTGGGGCTGGGAGGGAGCAGGGGCAGAGGAGGAAAGGTAAAGACCCCGTAATAGTCTTTTGGAAAATCCCGTTTGATCGGAATGCGGAACGTGAAAAGTTTTTGCCTGTATTGGGTGTTACGGTGCGTTTATCGGAAATCATCAAAGGTTATAAGTGTGTTTATGTCCACAGTGCATACCTGATGGGTTTTGTAGTTGGTTGAGTTACAAGATACTGAACCACGTGTGCTCTGGATTCAGTGGTGGAATAAATTTCTCATACGTGTGGGACTGTGACCGTTAAAACAATCATTACTGAAACCATATACCTTATTTCCTGTAACTAATAGCAGCGCTCTACCTATGGAATATATTAACAATTATTCCTTTGGTTTTTGGATTGTTGCTCGACTATTTTGTCGGACAGATATTTAAACATGATTTGTAATTTATGTTGTCTGAATACGTCAACGAATGGAGCTAATTAGGCTTTCTGATGTGAGCTGTGCTGGTGTTTGTGAAACCACGCTTCTGTTTACAAGACAGAGTGAATGTGTGTGCTTTAATAAATCATGGAAAATGATGAGTTTTCTCTACCTAGGTTGGTTAACAAAAATACTGTAGTTGGCGTTCACCTAGAGTTTAAAAAGAAGCCATGGTTTCTGTGGCTGGTTGAACAGTTACTTCTTCCATGCCATTAAAGTATTTATTTATTTTTCTGTTATAGTACTCAGAATTTCTTTCAAGGAAAATTATTGGGTCGGACAGCAGCGGCCCATTTAGGGACTCCATCACTTGCCATTTTTCTGCAACGTGCTCACCGTGCAGCAGAGGTGAAGCAAATGAGAAAAGTCCTCGACGAATGTCACTGTGAGATGGTGGCTTTGAGGCAGCACCTAAATTACCTACCTAAATTTCTCAGTACTTTAATATACCTCTGTATTAGTCGTGTCATTTTTGAACTGTTACCACTTGGGAGGATTTTCTTATTTTGGATAGTTTCTTATCAATGTATATGCTGAAGAACGGGCTGCTACGTTTGGTGTAGGCAGAGTAACAGATTTTCAGAGCAAAGGGTGCTGCAGCCCTGCAGAAGGGGTTGAGCTGTTAGAGGAACACCCAGGATTGCTGGCTCCAGAGAGGAAGCACTGTAATGAGAAAGGGGAAGCAGTTCTGTTTTTCTAAAATTTGTTGTTTTCTTTGAAACGGGGAAAAGAATACCTGGAGTGATTTATATTTAATTGAGGATTGCATTCCATCAGATACGGTGAATGTTCTCAGGCCATTTATCAGCTGTGTCTTTTCGAGACCTCCGAGGAGTATATCGTACATATTTACCTTAACTTGGCTAGGTCAAGGGAAATAAAGCAAAAATAATAGATGTTATTTTTGTATGTGAACAAAACTGGAAGTCATGTGGGTGAAATATGAGGTAAATGACTGTGTCCTACCTCCTCTGTGCCTTTTTAAATACAAGAAATTATTAGTTATATATAATATAATTTCCTTTGCATTATCAGTGGATCTTTTTAAAACAGAAGATTTATTGGCTTTTTCATTGTTCCCTGAAGTCAGCGTGACATATATTGTGCTGCTATTATTCTGTAGTAGTTTCATATTTAAGTAGCATCTTGTAAAAAACAAAACAAGAACAAAACGTGCCGTAGTTGCTCCTTATATAACATTTTTTCTAAATTGAATTTGATGTATATTGCTGTTAATGTATAAAGATAGCACAACACTGGAATCCTACAAGTGCTAGTGAGGATTTTAGTGAGCAGTACCTAAATTTTGGGGGAGCAAGAGTGCTGTAAGAAAGCCTTTGAGCTTCAGATTATCTCGAGAAAAATGTGTCATTGCTGGTTTTCACCCGTGTGTGCTGCTGCCGTGGGGTCTCCGAGCGTTACTGTGAAGAATTAAGCAGCGAGAACCATCCAACACCCACTCGATGATGCAGCCACAATTTCAACCCAGTTTCCCAATGTCAATAGCCAAAGGGAGTTTATTGTATGGCAATATTTGTGTAATATTTGCATAACACGTTTTTATTAATAGATCTAAAGATAAGATAAAGGCAGAGTAACCTAAATGTCAGGATCTTTAAGCAAGAAGGAAACCTGAGAACTGAAAAAGTCTCTTACCGTCAGCACGTACAGTCATTCTCTGTCCCCATAAGGGATGTACAGTGAAAACTGTTGCAAAATAAAACCAAAGAGCACATTGTCGATTCAGCTAAACCTAGCGATAAAACTGGTTTCAGAACTAGTCTGATGAAGTGCCATTTGATCAGATATTTCACGAACGGATTACTTTATTACTGATTGCACTAATGATTTGTAAATTAACTGCAACTCATTCTCCCTGAGTGACTGACTCAGTGGCATTTACCAACTTTTCACGTACCCCTTTTTTTAGGGACTGAATTTGCAAAATGCTTCCCTCTAGCCCTTTGAGTTAAATTTTCGGCGACATTTGATGACAAGCGTAGCATGATTAATTACAAATTATTCTTTAGGTGAATAGTGCATATTCTAAAACACAGCTTGTGTTTTTATAGCAGTTATTACCCCGCAGGCTGCAAAAGGGCTTTGGAGTAGGGAGTATAATTTCGGTTACATCATTGTAAATTCAGAAAACGTCAGTGATATCAAAAGTGTGATTTTTGAAATTAGGTCAGTGGAAAAGAGATCAGAATCTGCTTTGCTACCTGAAAAGAAGCAAGCGCCAAAATGGAGCGAAGTCTCTGCTTCCAGAAGGCTCTCATTTTTTCTTTTGAAAGGAACGTATTTGTCCAAAAAAATAATTTATTTGTAACAGTGTGTGGGGGTGAATAATAGAGCAAATTATAACCTGAATCCAGGCTGGATTATGGCAAGAAAGTCGGAGCATGGAATACTTTGTCTCGCCGATTGATCTGTAATGACCCAGGAGACCCACATTGCTGTTTCAGCTTGCACCGTGATGGGCCAATGACTCAAAGCTATCTAGAGATTTCTTATATTTTATCTTCCAATTAAATTTCTTCAGTGTTTGGATTTTAGTTGCTGGCTAGTTGATCTTTTGATAGCTACAATGCACTTGTAAGTTGTCTGTTTTGTTTGGTTTGGTTTTGTTTTTTCCCCCCCTTCTGTTTTCTGCCCTCTCATTACAGAATACATAGTTTTTGTAACCTGAATTTGAATTTAACTAGATTTCAAGGTTGAGATGATGATTGAGATTTTCTGGAGAGTATGTAGTTCTCTGTTGAATTCTCACTTCTCGTCACCAGAGGCTTTGAGAAGATAAGGATTACAGTCTGAAACCACTAGAACTTACAGGTCAGGAAATGGATGTATGGTCTTGCAATATACAGCATCAAACATGAAGCCCGAGCAGATAAGTTTAACGGAGAGTCCTCCCTTGTTAGGGCATGTTGAGAAGGAAACCATCAGAAAGGCAGTCATGGATGGCAAATACCTTTCAGGGTTTTGTTTTCAGCTTTTGTATGCGATGGTTTTGCTCGAAGCATCTGAAAAGCAGCTTTTCAGTACCCCGAGCCTGTGACTCAGGAACGAGATGAGCAATAGTCACAGGGTTTTCATCTTTCCCTTCACTTCGGGCAGCACGTTTTGCATCCTGTTTGTGAGCAGCTCTGTGGCTTCTCATCGGAGAGCTTCCTTAAGCCTGCGGTACTGTTCTCTTCCAGCCATTTTGGAGTACTCAAAAAATAACATGGTTTACATCTCCTCTAGGGTCTGAGAGTGTTGCTCGGGTGGTGAGCCCAGCTCCCAGTGATGCAGGAGAGAGTCCCGGGGGATGCTCACACTGCATCTCCCCAGGTTGCTTTCTGGTTTCAAGTCACTTGGCCAAATTACCATTATTTGAAACTGTTGGGGCTGAAGTATGTTTGAATTGTTCTTTAGCTTTATCTACTGCCGGGAAAAGGTAGAAACTTATATAAAAACGAATAAATTACCTTGTATGGGCATATCCCCTAACGTATGGAAGAATATACTTAAGAGTGTGTAAAGTAAAGCTGCTTTTAAATATCTGATTGAAAACAAAACAATAAATTAAAAACACAGGTGTTTTTTTTGAAGTCTTGCACGTTTTGATTCATTTAAAAATGACACACTCTATCTTCTAATGGTTGAAACTAATAGCTGTGATAATTTTGTCATGATAATTGTTAAGTAGCCTTTTCTGAAGTAAACTCATTAATATAATATGAAGGATTAATATCATGGGAAAAACGAAGACACTGTAAGGCCTTGCAATATGTTTCTGCTTTTTCCAGTATCCTTTTCTTAAATAAAATAAAACAAGGTGTATTTCTAAAGTGAAATATTTCTCTGCTGTCATTTTCAGAATCCAAACGGATCTGAAGTACTTGGAAAATGAGCGTTCTTCTCATTGAAGCCTTTTATGGTGGTTCCCACAAACAGCTGATGGATCTTCTCCAGGAAGAGCTGCAAGAAGACTGTGTCCTCTGTACACTCCCTGCCAAGAAGTGGCATTGGAAAGCCCGGACCTCTGCTCTTTATTTCATGCAAACAGTGCCAACAAGTGCTGATTACAGGTAACCCAGGAACTGAATAATTTCAGAGCTCAAATTACAGAGGGGCCTTCAGCCAGGTCTCTTGAGCTGAATCTTCAGTTCTGTGCATGCAAGCGTATATGCGCAAGCAAATGGAGACTTGCAATGGAGACTTACAGTGGACAATACAAGTTTTTTGCGTTGACTTCGTGGGATATAAATATGGGAAATTACCGCCATCTTTGAGAGTTTCTCAGACTGCTTTGTCTTGCATTGCCAGTCCTTGAAAGTCTCTAAGAGTGCAAGTATATGGATACCTGTTTGTGTACATGTATACGTACATCTTATTTTAAAATTACCAAGTGAATTCAGTAATACTGAAAGATTTAAACTGTGCTTCTCAGATTAGGTTGAAAGATGGCACAGATGTGAATACTCCAAGCTTCCTCAGTTGCCCTCCGATGTATCTGTTAGGAAGTCTGATTTATGAGAGTGTACTACTCAGGCTGACCTGGAGCAGTTTTATCTTAATGATGGTCCGGTTCTGTAATGTGCCAGCAACTGTGGATGTCAATTATGCATTTATGTAAGTGGCAAATTTCTACCAGCTAGAACCTGGACTGATAAAAGCAGACTATTTAGGTCAACAGATAGCTATCATGTGGTGAGAATCAGTCACTCCAGAACCAGGCTGTCTTTAAACCCAGCGTTTTTGCTTGGTCTACCTGATGAGTTGAGATGTGGTAAGATGATTGTATGGAGCAGCGACGTATCACGTGGCGCGGTGCGTGCTCCGCTCGGGGCGCGTAGCAGAGCACCACGGCGTGGGTAGTAAATGTGCACTCAGTTGACTTTGCACCTTCGTGGAGAGAGACCGTTCATGCACGGGGATGTTTTAGCGCTAGCAGCTGCTTTTCAGCCACAGAATGAACGTCAGGAGGACTCTGAGCACCCCTCAG